GCCATGCAATAATGGCATACAGTAGGCCTGTGAATGATTCCATTTAATTATCGCACAAATTTTACTGGTTACAGTTCACTACAATGCTTCCTACATATAGGAACCCTAAAAACAGACTTACCAGTGTATCCAAGGAATGTAATATATACATAGTATCCCATAGCAACAAGCCAGAGTGAGTTGCCACACAGTGTTGATAAGAAATAATCATAACTTATTAATGCTGAAATTTGAAGAAAACAAACTGCCTCAGTAGATGTTCCACATTGCTTTGGGCCACCAACAATAGACTGAATCGGCAACTCCAGCAGCTGGTCGTGATATACATCTTAATGCCAACGTAATAATAATATGTCATATGATGATCATTATCCTCGGCAGTAACTACAAATCCTATGATTTAAAATAACACTCTTGCAACGAGTGGGTGGTTTCGTTTTTTTTTTTCATGCTGCGATAGCATTTGCCATGAATAATATTTTTGACCTTTACTTGAAAAACGTCCAGGCTTTATTCCCACTATCTATTGGTGCCTTAAGGCCAGCTCAGACAACGTCGGCCGACGCAGCTCGACCCGATTTATCGTCGGGGACAGTCTTAAGCTGTCGTGAGAAATATTAAACACGTTTAATATTCTACTATGCGACTGCCCCCGACAACAAATCGCGAAGCCATATTCATTGCACTCTCGTCTCGCGATCTCGATAGATGTAAACAAACCCTAATACCCACTAAGTCACGTGACCCGAGCTGCCGATTCGGTCTATTTTCATTTTGGGTTTTAAAATGTAAAGATCATAATCAGTTTTAAGATATGCGATTACTGTATATATTATAGTACAGTAAAAAAAAAAAAGGGCAACATACGTGTATACAATAAAGGCTGTATAACATGGAGAATGATGAGCATGGGGAAGAATGCATTGAGGTGAACATCAAAACAAAATCCCCATTCAACTTGCTGGAACTGCTTGCTACTCATCTTCAAGTAATGATTTGTGACAAACCTACAAGCAGAACATTCAATGTACATTAGTGATGCCATCAACATCTTTCTCGATTCAGCTGCTGTTCCTCTACAAATTTGCCATCATGCAATGAAAAATTATTAAAATTATTTTATTATTGTAAATTCAAAATTTCTCACCAGAAAAAAGTGGCAATCAACAATCCAACACCAATACAGTCTACAAATACAACCCAGAGTAGAAACTTGATTGTACCCACAAATCCAAGACTCAACACAATTCCAAAACCAACAGATGAACCTGCAAAAAGTTAGATATATTTCTCTTTCATCTCAAAGACATCAAATCATATTACAGTAGTTTATCTTGATCCTTAGTGGATATTCTAATTTATAACCAGCACCTTGATTCCTAAAT